GTAGTGGTTACGAATTGGGCTGTGAACCTCAGGGTCAGCAGTTCAAAACTACCAGCTGTCCTGCGGGAGAAAGATGAGGCTTTCTGCTCCCGTAAACATTTACAGCCTTGGAAACCCTGTGCAGGGTCGCTATGAGTCGGAACCAACTCCACGGCACATAACAACAACAACAACAACAACAACAACAATATATCTTCCAAGATAGATTTGTTTATTCTTCTGGCAATCCATGGTACTTTCAAGATTCTTCAACACCATAATTTAAATGCATCGATTCTTCTACAGTCTTCCTTATTCACTGTCCAACTTTCACATGCATATGAGGCTACTGAAAATACAATAGCTTGGATCAAGCACACCTTCGTCCTAAAACTGACATATTTTACTCTTGTGCGCTTCCAAGAGGTCTTTTGAAGTAGATTTGCCTAATGCAATATGTCTTTTGATTTCTTGACTGCTGTTTCCATGAGTGTTGACTGTGGATCTAAGTATAATGAAGTCTTTGACAACTTCAATCTTTTCTCCTTTAATCATGATGCTATCTATTGGTTCAGTTGTGAGAATTTGTTTTCTTTATGTTGAGGTGCACTCCGTACTGAAGGCTGTAGTCTTTGACCTTCATCAGTAAGTATTTTAAGTTTTCGTTGTTACCAGCAAGCAAGGTTGTGTCATCTGTGTACTGCAGGTTGTTAGTGAGTCTTCCTCCAATCATGATACCACTTTCTTCTTCATATAAACCAGCTTGCTGGGTTATTTGCTCATCATGCAGATTGACTAAGTATGGTGAAAAGGTGCAATCCTGGTGCACAACTTTCCTGAGTTTAAACCATTCAATCAATATCTACTTGCTCTGTTCAAACAACTGCCTCTTGGTCTATGTACAGGTTCTTCATGAGCTGACCATTAAGTGTTCTGGAATACCCACTTTTCACAATGTTATACATAGTTTGTTATGATCCACACAACTGAATGCCTGTGCTTAGTCAACAAAGCACAAATAAACATCTTTCTAGTATTCTCTGCTTTCAGCCAAGATCCATCTGCCATCATCAATTACACCCCCATTCCATGTCTTTTCCTGAATCTGGTTTGAATTTCTGGAAGCCCCCTGTTGCAATTGTTTTTGAATTATCTTCAGTAAAATTTTATTTGTATGTGAAATTAATGATATTGTTTGTTGATTTTTGCATTCCTTTGGGCCACATCTCTTTGTAATGGGCACAAATATGTATCTCTTCAAATCAGTTGACCAAGTCTTCCAAATTTCTTGTCATAGATAAGTAAGCACCTTCAGTGCTTCATCAGTTTTTTGAAAGCTTCAATTTATATCCCATCAATCCCTAAAGACTTGTTTTCCACCATTGTCTTCACTGCAGCTTGGATTTTTCCTGCAGTACCATTGGTTCTTGATCCTATGGTGGTACTAATGGGTATATCGACCAATTCTTTTTGGTACCAGAAAGCCATGTATTCCTTCCATTTTCTTTTGATGCTTCCTGCATCATTCAATATTTTGCCCGTTGTTGTTGTTAAGTGTCATTGAATCAGTTCCGACTCATAGCGACCTTGAATAGAGTTTCCAAAAAGTGACTGGTGTGTTTGAACCACCGACCTTGAGGTTTAAGATTACCTTGCATTCTAGTGCTTATCCTACATCGCCAAACCAGGACTCCATCGAATCCTTCAATATTGCAACCTGAGGCTTGAATTTTCTTCAGTTCTTTCAGCGTGTTCTTCCCTTCTGGTTTCCTAACTCTAGGCCTTTGCACATTTTATTATAATACTTTGTCTTCTCGAGCAGCCCTTTGAAATGATCTGTTCAACTCTTTTATGTCATCATTTCTTCCAGTCACTTTAGCTTCTTTATGTTCAAGAGCAAGTTTCAGAGTCTCTTCTGACATCTTTCTAGTCTTTTCTTTCTTTCCTGTCTTTTTAATGACCTTTTGCTTTCTTCATAGATGATGTTCTTGATGTCTTCCCACAACTCTTCTGGTCTTGGGTCACTAGTGTCTAATGCATCAAATCTGTTCTTGAGATGGTCTCTAAATTCAGGTGGGATATACTCAAGGTAATATTTTTGTTTTCAAGGGCTTATTTTAATTTTCTTCAGCTTCTCTCTGAACTTACATACAAGTAATTGATGGTCTGTTCCACAGTCAGCCCGTGGCCTTGTTTTGGCTTATGATTTTGAGCTTCTCCATCAGCTGTTTCCACAAAGGTAGCCAGTTTGATTCCTATGTATTCCATCTGGTGATTTGTATGCATAAAGATGCCCTTTATGTTGCTGAATGTGTGATGATGTCCTTTATATTGTTTATATTTTTACAATGAATAAGTCCTTTGTCTTGCACAATTCTGTTACACTTTTCTGTCACCAAAGTCATATTTTCCATCTACGAATCCTTCCTCTTTATTTCCAGTTTTCACATTCCAATCTTCAGCAGGTATCGATGTATCTTAATTGCATATCTGATGAATTTCAGACTGAATAAATAGGTAGAATTCTAAAATTTCAACGTCATTAGTTTTAGTGGTTGGTGGGTAAATTTGAATAATGGTGGTATTATTCTTCCTTGCATTCATATTGATATTTTGCTATCACAGACAGCATTGTACTTCAAGATAGATTGTTTTGATGATGAATGGGATCTCATTTCTTTTGAATTTGTCATTCCTGATATAGTAAACTCTATTAGTGTCCATGTTTAAGGAGCTCTGATGGCGTAGTGGTTATGAGTTGGACTGTTAACCTCAAGGTCAGAAGTTCTTCTGTGGGAGATAGATGAGGCTTTCTGCTCCCATAAAGATTTACAGCTTCAGAAACCTATGCAAGGTCACAATGAGTTGGAACCAACTCCATGGCACACAACCGCTACCACCACCACCACCACGATTGGCCAATTCAAAATGGCCAATACCCATCTATTTTACTTTATTAATGTCTAGGATAAATATCTTTGTGCATACCATCTCATTTTTTACAGCTTCCAGTATTTCTGGATTCATGCTTTGTATGTTCCACGTTCTGATTATTAATGGATATTTGCAGCTATTTCTCATCACTTTGAGCTGAACCTCATCAGCAAATTAAGGTCCCCAAAACTTTGCTCCATTCACATTATTATGGGCAACTCTACTTTGAGGAGTCTGCTTCTTCAGTCATATTTTGAGTTCTTTCCTTCCAATCTGAGGGGCTCAACTTTTAACACTGTATCAGACAACGTTTTCCTCAGTTGTATCTTATGTTCCTTCCCATCTGAGGGGCTCATCTTTCAGCACTATATTAGATACTGATTCACTTTCAGTGGCTAATCATTCAAAAGTGGTCTGCCTGTCTTTCTGACTAGTCTGGCTTGGCCTGGAAGCTCTGCAGAAACCTGCCTACCATGGATGACACTATACCGGCATCGCAGCAACACACAAGCCACCACAATATGGCAAACTGACAGATGATAATTTAAAATATTGTTAAAAGATATTCCCTGAGTATTTTTTAAATATACAACTCAGAGAGAATCCAAAGTATTAACTGACATTTTCATACCACAGTAACGTCTTTTCTCATACTTCTTGTTCCTAACTTCCTCTGCCTGATGCTCTTAAATGTCAACATTGCCATATGTCAAACCTACTAGGCTTAAGCCATTTGTTCCATCACAGAATGGTTAATTTTTCTATTACTGATTCTACCTTTTCTTGTTTTTGCCTCTTTCTCCACTAGGCTGTGCCACTGAAGTCCCAGAATATCTATCTCATTGTAAAGTTGTCCAATTATGGTAGTTATGTCTGTGACAGCATCGTGGACTTATTTCAAAGGAAAAATAAAAGGTAATTATAAACCAGAAATAAATGCTTCTATAGCAAAGAACAAGGAAACATAACTTAAGGCATACCTCATTTTGGAAAAGGATCAAATACTTTTTACAAAATAATTGTTCTCTAGAAGAGTACACCATAGAAGACTAAATCTGTCCACTTACATGTAAAAAAGAGTGTGGTTTCATCCAGATGAATGGTCTTTGGCTTGATACATAAATCTACACTGGCAGTGTCCAGGCTGCGCTGGTGAGTCTGAGAGTTGTAGCAAGATGCTGAATGACAGTGGTCTCGAAGCCAGACATAGTCAAAACGCATAACAGTGTTAGCGTATTGTAGTTCTGTGGAAAAATCATATTCATCAGAAATATTTATTTAGGACAGTTTAATAATCTGTAGTCAGAAACCTTACCTCAAACAGTCTTCTTCTAATACACAAGAATAATGAGGAAAGACTACTCCTACTAGATATGAGAGAACTTCAAAAAGTTCTTGAGGCTCTCCCACAAGACCCTCCTCTGATTGCTCTGCACATCTGCCTGCCCACACTCACCATGGCTACCATTCAGAGTGGGAATAACTCTGCGAAAAATGGGTGCAATGGCCAAACATGATTGTATCATCACTACTGATGGCAAAAGCCTCACCATCAAAACTGAAAGCACTCTGAAAACAACACAGTTTTCTTGCAACTTGGGAGAAAAGTTTGAAGAAACTACAGCTGATGACAGAAAAATTTAGACTGTCTGCAACTTTACAGATGACACTTTGGTTCAACAACAGGAGTAGGATGGGAAGGAAAGCATGATAATATGAAAACTGAAGATGGAAAATTAGTTGTGGAATGTGTTATGAACAATGTCACTTGTACTCAGACCTATGAAAAACTAGAATATAAATTCCATCTTTACTTTGAATAGGAATTAGCTGTGAGAATGAACAAGCTCAGTTTAATGAGCAAATCTCCACACTGCTTTGTGTGTTGTTGTTGTTTTTCATTACTGTGGTCAATTATTTCTCTCACAAACAGTTATATGCAACTGTTTCAAAGTGTTGGTTTAATTAGAATCATCCCTTTGTTTAGTAAATAAACGTGTTTGTGCTAAAAAACAAAAATAAATAAAAGTTCTTGAAAATGGATTCACAAGATGATGGGATTTTCTTATGAACTTTTTGACACCTCTATTGATACATAATGGGACTCCTGGTGTGGCGCTGTAGGATCAGTACTTGTCTGCAAACCAGAAGGTTGGCAGTTCAAATCCATCAGCTGTTCCTCGGAAACCATTAACAGGGATGCTATGAGTTGGAATCGACTCGGGGACACTTAACAATGACAACAACAATTGATACATACTACAGCACATCTGAAGATCTATCTTGAAGTACAATGCCATCTGTGATAGATAATATGCATATGCCTACAAGGAAGACCAATTAGTACCAATGTTATTTAAATTTACGCACCAACCACTAAAGCCAGTGATGATGAAATTGAATAATTCTACCAACTGCTTCACTCTGAAACTGATCAAACATGCAATCAAGATGTATTGATAATAACTGGTGACTGGAATATGAAAGTGGGAAACAAAGATGGATCAGTAATTGGAAAATAGGATCTCGGTGATAGAAAAAGATGCTGGAGATCATATGAAAGATTTCTGTAAGACCAATGACTTATTCATTGAAAGTAACTTTTTTCAACAACTAAAAGGAGACTATACCAGATGGAATATACATGAAATCAAATTGACTACATCTGTGGGAAGAGACAGTGGAAAACCTCAATATCATCAGCCAAAACAAGGCCAGGGGCAGACTGCGGAACAGACCATCAATTGTGCATATGCAAGTTCAGGCTGAAGCTGAAGAAAATTGAAACATATCAACGAGAGGTAAAATATGACCTTGGATATATTTCACCTGATTTTAGGGACCATCCAAGAACAGATTTGACACATTAGACACTAATGACTGGAAACCCGAAGAGTTGGGGGATGACATCAAGAACATCATGCAGGAAGAAGACCAAAGAGTCATTAACAAGACAGGAGAAAAAGAAAAGACCAAAATGGATGTCAGAAGAAACTCCAAAACTTGCTCTTGAACATACAGAAGCTACAAAGTGACTGTTAGTTTGCCATACTGTGGTGGCTTGTGCATTGCTGTGATTCTGGAAGTTATGCCATGGGTATAAGACAAATACCAGAAGGGTCACCTGAGGTGGATAGATTTCAGTTGAGCGTCCAAATGAAGACAGACTAAAGCGAAAGAGAGACGGACATTTCTGAATATCTAGTCACTGAAAACGCTGTCAGCACCAAATGTTGAATATTGAGACATGATGAAGAGCACCACAATATTGTCAGATGCAGTGCCATTAGATGATCCCCTCAGGTTGGAAGGCATTCAAAATGCAACTGGGGAAGAGCTGCCTACTCAAAGAGATGATTGTGATGATGCGAATGAATTAAAGCCCTCAGGACCTTCATTTGCTGATGGGGCACAACTTAAAATGAAGAGAAACAGCTGTAAACATCCATTAATAATCAGAACATGGAATGTATGAAGTATGAATCCAGGAAAATTGGAAATTGTAACAAATGAAATGGAATGCACAAACATCTATATCTTAGGCATTAGTGATCTGAAATGGACTGGCATTGGCCATTTTGAATCTGACAATCACATGGTTTATGCTGCGAATGACAAATTGTAGAGGAATGGTGACACATTTATCATCAAAAATAACGTATCAAGATCAGTCATGATGTATAACACTGTGATAGTATAATATCCATATGCCTACAAGGAAGACCAGTTTATACCACTATTATTCACATTTACACACCAACCACTAGAGCCAGTGATGATGAAATGGAAGAATTCTACCAACTTCTTCAGTCTAAAATTGATCAAATATGGGGGCGGCGGGGCTTGATGGCGGCTAGGGTGAAGGTGTAGTGAAGGTCTCCATCAGCAATAAACTCAGAATTCCAGGTAAAAAAGAGGCAAGACAGAGCTCCAAAACTCAGACCCACAGAGATAGGAATAGTTTAAAGGTTTGAAGGACTATAGCCTGTGGAATTTGGAGCTGAGGTGGGAAATCGCGTACTTTTGAATCTGCCGGCCAGGCACGGAGGCCTGAGCCCACATCCTGGGTGAGTCCAAGCAGCGGGACGAAATAGGAGCCGCAGAGATGCAACGGAAACACACCGCGGGAACCTTGGGGGGAAAAAAGGTGCACAGTATACTTTGCCGATTTTGTGTAGTTCTGATTTTTATTTTTTTCTTTGGTGTCAGGTAATAGGTGCGCTCACGGTTTGCCCACCTACATTCGGGTGACTAGAGGTAGGGGCTTAGTCGAGTGGCCATGACCCACCCCCACTGCTGGCGGTTTTCTCTGCCAGGAACTCACACACTCAGCCCAAGCTGAGATGCAGATTTGGTCAGCCTTTTTTTTTTTCACTGGGTTGAGAGGGGTCCTGGTTTAGCGCGGTGGGTTAAGGTGCCGCACCGCAAATTCTTTTGTCGGAAACCCTATACGGGAGACGCGGATGTGCTTACTATTTGGTCGGCTTTTTCTCACTGGTTTGAGAGGCGTCCCGGTATAGTGCGGTGGGTTAAGGTGCCACTGTAAAGCCTTTTGAACTGCAAGGTCGGTGGTTCAAGTTCACCAGCTGCTCCTCGGAAACTCTACGGGAGACGCGGATGTGCGTTCTATTTGGATGGCTTTTTTTCCCGCTGGTTTGAGAGGTGTCCTGGCATAGCGCTGTGGGTTAAGGCGCCATGGTAAAGCCTTTTGAACTGCAAGGTCGGTGGTTCAAGCTCACCAGCCGCTTCTCGGAAACCCTATATGGGAGACACGGATATGCGTTCTATTTGGTCTGCTTTTTTTTACCTGCTGGTTTGAGAGGCGTCCCGGTGTAGTGCTGTGGGTTAAGGTGCCACTGTAAATCCTTTTGAACAGCAAGGTGGGTGGTTCAAGCTCACCAGACACTCCTCAGAAACCCTATATGGGAGACGCGGATGTGTGTCCTCTTTGGTCTGCTTTTTTTTCCCCACTGGTTTGAGAGGAGTCCCGGCATAGCATTGTGGGTTGAGGCGCCACACTGCAAAGCCTTTTGAACTGCAGGGTCGGTGGTTCGGGCTCACCAGCTGCTCTTCGGAGACCCTATAAGGGAGACACAGATGTGTGCTCTATTTGGATGGCTTTTTTTTTTTTTTCCGCTGGTTTGAGAGGTGTCCTGGCACAGTGCTGTGGGTTAAGTCGCCATGGTAAAGCCTTTTGAACTGCAAGGTTGGTGGTTCAAGCTCACCAGCCGCTTCTCAGAAACCCTATACAGGAGACGCGGATGTACGTACTATTTGGTCAGCTTTTTCTCACTGGTTTGAGAGGTGTCCCGGCGTAGTGCTGTGGGTTAAGGCACCACTGAAAAGCCTTTTGAACTGCAAGGTCAGTGGTTCAAGCTCACCAGCTGAGACACGGATGTGCGTCCTATTTGGTCGGCTTTTTTTTTCCACTGGTTTGAGAAGCGTCCCGGCATAGCGCTGTGGATTAAGGCGCCACTGCAAAGCCTTTTGAACTGCAAGGTCGGTGGTTCAAGCTAATCAGCCGCTCCTCGGAAACCCTATGCGGGAGACGCGGATGTGCATCCTATTTGGTCGGCTTTTTTTAACTGGTGTGAGAGGCATCCTGGCATAGCACTGTGGGTTGAGGCGCCACACTGCAAAGCCTTTTGAACAGCAAGGTCAGTGGTTCAA